CCGCTATAAGTCGCTGATTACTAGTAAAAATAAAATAAAATACAAAATTCCAGTATATATCACGCCATTTGTAAATGCTATAAACCAATTAATTTACATGTATTGGGATTTTTTTTAGCAAAGACATGTAGCAGAATACATTTTGGTGTAAATTTATGATAAAATTTAATTTTTTTATTTTTTTTACTGGACATGTTCAATAGCAAAATGTAAAAAATATATATTTTTCTCAAAATTGTCAGTCTTTTTTTATAGCGCAAAAAATAAAAAATGCACAGGTGATCAAATACCACCTAAAGAAACCTCAATTCGTGGGAAAAAAGGACGTAAATTTCATTTGGGTGCAGCATTGCATGACCGCGCAATTGTCAGTTAAAGTAACGCAGCTCCGTAACGCAAAAACATATGGCCTGGTCAGAAAGGGTGGTAAATCCTCAAGAGGGCAAGTAGTTAAAGAAGAGTTATCACTTTTTCACATTACTCATTACACATTATGTAGTACTTTGTTCCATCTTCCTAAGTGCCCGGTGACACTAACAGGGTGGACAGGGTGTTCTCCACTTGGTGCACAGCTGACCTGTCTCCGGCTCTCAGCACTCGCCTGAGGCAAGCACCAAAAAGAAGAATACAGGGAGAGGTGATGCTAGGGTGCCTCACTTCCATCTGCATTCCTCTTGCTGGCACTTGTCTTGGCCAAGCACTGGGCGCCAGAGACAGGCTCTCACTATCAAAGCAGCCATCTCCTTGCTAGCTGTGGTGATGGTTGGCTGTGCTCCAATGGGGGCACCCTCTCTGACATTGCAACTAGTGGTACAGGATATCTAGGAAAATGGGACAAAGTACATGTAGTCCCAAAAGGAACTGAATAATGTAAAATACAAATTTGGAGCTGGCTGTAAGAGTAGAACGGGGAGATTTGTCCATCCGAGCTGTATAGCTAAAGTAGTGCATTTGGGGAAATACACTGTATGTGCATGTGTGGGTAAACGTAGATGAAGAAGTGACCAACGTGTACACGAGTATGGCTGCACACATCCATTCACTTGTATTGGCAGCTGCATCTTGCACCTGGGCATGGGAAATTATACACTAAAGTATTATACACTAAAAGACTAAAAGGGATCGGCACTGATCATCAGGGCACTGATCATCAATGTACTGATGATCAGTGCCCATCAGTGCTACCCACCTGTACCCATCAGTGCCACCCACCTGTGCCTAGCAGTGCCACCCACCTGTGCCCATCAGTGCAGTGCCCTGCAGTGCCACCCATCAGTGGTGCCCAGCAGTGCCGCCTATGGGTGCAGCATCATCAGTGCCACCTATCAATACCGCCTATCAGTTCCTCCTATCAGTGCCTCCTATCAGTGCCCATCAGTGCTGCCTATCCATGCCACCTCATCAGTGCTCATCAGTGCTGCCTATCAGTGCTATCAGTACTGCCTATCAGTGCCCATCAGTTCCAAATTTTTTGCTCTTTTTTTATTTATAGCGCAAAAAATAAAACACCCAGGGGCAATTAAATACCACCAAAAGAAATCTCTATTTGTGTGAAAAAATGATAACAATTTCATATGGGCACAGTGTTGCATGACCGTGTAATTGTCATTCAAAGTGTGATAGTGCTGAAAGCTGAAAATTGGCCTGGGCAGGAAGGGGTATAAGTGCCGAGTAGACAAGTGGTCAATGAGTTAGGCAGTTCATGCCAATGGGGGAGCATAGGAAGTCTTTTTGTTAGACAGAACACAATGATTACTGCTAACAGCTATAGTCTAGCCCCCGCGCCCCACAATACACTGTGCTCTCACAGTGAATTGTGATTGGCCAAAGCATTGCACCTGATGTTAGGTACAATGCTTTGGCCAATCACAGCTGAATTCACTGTCACGAGTTAAGTCCATGCCCCGCAGAAGCAGCACTAAAACTATTTAGGGCATAATTGCTGTTCTCCCTTCTGCGTTGCAGGTGTTCCTCCTTCTGCCTCAGCAGTGGTTCCCTTTTTTTTTTTGGCTATCTGAATATTTTGTTATATTTAGGTTTTTTGTTGTTGTTGCTGCAGCAGTAACAGCAACAGCAGCAGCAAAAATATTGAGGGTATAATTGCTGTTCCTCCTGAGTCGCAGGTGTTCTTCCTTCTGTGTCACCATTTTTTGTTTTGGTTTTCTCAATTTTTTCATTTTAATCTTTTTTGCCAAAGCAGCAGTAAAAAGAAAAATATTGATAATTACTGTACCCCCTTTTTCTGTAAACATAATAATAATAATAAAATTGTTTATAGTGCACCAAGTACAAAGGTATTGCACCCAAGCACCAAATTCCCATCCCACACTAAAGAGTTATAAAAATCCCCTAAAACAAATCCTCATCATGTCCGAAAGGCCAACAAGGAGAGACAAACGCTCAAAGGCAGCTAAGAGTGGGCAAGCAGCCTCTGTGTCTACAGTGGAAAGTGGTGGTCATGGACATGCTGTAACCTCTGCAGGCAGGGCACGCTTGTCCTTTTTTTCTGGTGCTGGCTGTGTTATTGAGCCACATCATGCAGGAGAGATGGTGGAGTGAACAACTAAGCCATCCTCATCCTCCTCATCCTCTGTCACCCAGGCTCATACTAGTTTGCCTTCCACTGCAGCTGCCAAAGAGGCATATTCCACAGGCTCCTTGCCCACCACAGCTGCTCCTTCCATAGCCCCATCATCATGCAGAAGGAGTCACCTGAATTATTCGATCAGTGTCAGTATCATGTTGCTGGAGGATGCGCAGAAATTTAAATGCCCCAATGTTGGTTTCCAGTTTGAGGAAGGGAGTGAAATGAGCCTAGAGAGAGGGGGTGCCAATGACGGACAAGAAATTGGCAGTCATGTTCCCCCACCTGCAGCATACTGCCAAGCTGGCTCCAGTGACGAGGAGGGTGGTGATGATGAGGACACTGACTGTACTTGGGTGCCAGAGAGAACAGAGGAGGAAAGTGGGGAGGAGGCACAATTCCATTGAGGCAGGATGTCCCTCAGGGGCAGATGTAAGGGCAGCCACCCTATGGCATCACACAACAGAGCTCCACAGGTGCAGGGCGCTGCTGACGCCTCGCTGACTTCCAAAATGTCATTGGTGTGGACTTTTTTTGTTAAATAAAGGACTTGTCAAAACCGGGTTTTTTTTTTGGGGGGGGGGAATCAATAAAGGATTTTTTTCAAAAGTCTAGTCTCTTTATTTTTTGGCAATTTAACCCTTTAGTGAATGGGTAGGGGTACAAGTACCCATTTTCAAACAAATAAAGCTACCCAGTTCAACTTGCCAGCCAGCGGACCAACAACAGTGGTCAGCAGCCCCAGTCTAAAAATGGCTTTTATCAGCAAGGAACATGGATAGGTATCACTTATCAAAAAGGGGGATAAGAAAGCCAGTTCGACTGGCCAGCCAGCTAGCCAAAAACCAAATTAACCTGTCTAACAATATGCGTTTAAAAAAAGGGGTTTAGTTAGCACACATTTTGCAAATACATACGTAAGCCACAGAGCCACATCACGGCACCCCGAAATTCTGTGGTTCTAACTCAAATTCTGTGGCCCCACATTTTGGGAGTCCTCATAGCAGAGGCACATGTATTTAATGGATAGACTCTTTTGTACAAGAACCCCTTACCTATTCAGAAGGGAGGGGGGCAGCATCAGGGTGCCCCCTTATTTAAAGGAGTACAAAGATGCTAATGAGCCCACCTGCCCGCAGACCCCCACAACCACCAGGCAAGGGTAGTGGGGAAGAGGCCCTTGGGACACCGTCCCCATGCTGAGGGCACGTGGCCTGGTAAGGCGCAGGGAGAGTGGGGGGTGATTGTTTGTCACCCCTCTTTCCTGGCCTGCCAGGCCTATGCTCAGATCAAAGGTCTGGCAGGAAATTAGGGGGGACCCCCACACTTTTTTTGGGGGGGTGGGGCTCCCCTTAAAATTCCTACCAGGCCTACAGGGAGCCCTAGCACTTTAAAAAATATATCATTTACCGTGGGGTCCCTCCTAAGCTTCCTACCAGACCTGAAAAGGTCTGTTATTGATGGGGGGGGGCACGTTGTTTTTTTTTTTTTTTTTATAAAAATTAATTTTTTTAAAAGAAATGTCAGTCCTGCTGCAGCAGGTTCTATACATTGTACAGATGTGCAACTTCTCAGGTAGTTTAACCACTTCCTGTCTGGACACTTTTACCCCCTTCCTGTCCAGGCCAATTTTCAGCTTTCAGTGCTATCACAATTTGAATGACAATTGCGCGGTCATGCAAAACTGTTCTCATATGAATTTTTAGCATTATTTTGAGACAGATAAAGTTTTATTTTGGTGGTATTTATTCACCACTGAGATTTTTATTTTTTTTTATATATAAATGAAAAAGTCCAAAACTTTTTGAAAAAAAGTGTTTTTTCTTATAAAATTTTTCAAATAAATATTTCATCATAAATCTTGGCCAAAATGTATTCAGTTATCTTTTTTAGTAAAAAAAATAACCCAAATTAGTTTATAACCAAAAATAATAATTTTAAAAAAAAAAACGTTTACATTTTCATTTTTTTTTTTATATTATTATTTATGTTTTTTTTTCTACATACTGTCACCCTAGCAGTACAGTGTCACCATGGTGACACTGTACTACTTGTGGGGGGTGATGAAGATTTTTTTTTTTACACTGATTGCTTATACACCCATAAAGACTGTAAAAACAGTCATTTCTCCTTCTCTCTGGCTGCATTCTTGCAGCCATTAAGAACTACTGTTTGAGCTGTGATTGGTCACAGCTTGTCACATGGTACAAGGCTGTTGTGAATAGCCTTGTACCATGTGACCTCTGTGATCATTCACAGATTTCACACGTAGTAAGCAATGATGTCAGAAGTGACATCTTGCTTACTACTCTGCATGTGATCACTGATTGGCCAATCAGTGATCACATGATCGGGACCTCGCACAGAGGTCCCGTACGACGATCGGTGTTCCACTGTGTCCTCCGGACACAGCGGGCACCGGATCTCGGTGCTGCGTGCTCCCAGCTCGTGAGGAGAGGAGAGCCGGTAATCGGCATCCCTCAGAGGGACCATGTACACTGATCATCAGGGCACTGATGATCAGTGTACCCTGATGATCATCAGGGCACTGATGATCAGTGTACCCTGATGATCAGTGTAGCCCAAGCAGTGCCACCTGTCAGTGTCCATCAGTGCCAGCTCCCAGTGCTCATCCATGCCACCTGCCAGTGCCCATCAGTGCTACATCAATCCCACATATCAGTGCCTACCAGTGCACATCAATGCCACATATCAGTGCTCATCTGAGCTGCCTTTCAGTGTCATTCATCAGTGCCAGTCAGTGCCACCTATCAATGCCAATCAGTGCCACCTATCAGTCCTGCTAATCAGTGCCACCTATCAGTGCCAGTCAGTGCCGCCTATCAGTGCCAGTCTGTGCCGCCTAGCAGTGTGCATCAGTGCCGCTATCAGTATCAGTGCCCGTCAGTGCTGCCTTTCAGTGCCGCCTAACAGTGCCAGTCAGTGCCACCTAACAGAGCCAGTCAGTGCCGCCTATCAGTGTCAGTCAGTGCCGCATAATAGTGCCACCTATCAGTGTCATATATCAGTGCAGCCTTTCAGTGCCCATCAGTGATGCCTGTCAATGCCAATCAGTGCTACCTACTAGTGCCTCCTCATCAGTGCCCATCAGTGCTACCTATCAGTGTCCATCAGTGCAGCCTATCAGTGCCCATCACTGCAGCCTCATTAGCGCACATCAGTGAAGGAGAAAATTCACGTATTTAAAAAATTTTATAACAAAAACTAAGAAAAAAATGTTTTTTCCCCAAAATTTTCAGTGGTTTTTGGTTTAAAAAAAAAATAAAAAAACCCAGAGGTGATTAAATACCACCAAAATAAAGCTCTATCTGTCACCAAAAAATTGTAAAAATTTCATATGGGTACAGTGTTGCATGACTGCGCAATTGTCATTCAAAGTGTGACAGTGCTGAAAGCTGGAAATTGGCCTGGGCAGGAAGGGGGTATAAGTGCCCTGTAGGCTAGTGGTTAAAGGACATTTTCATTTTTTTCTTTTACTTTTAGCAATAAAAAATGACTGCCCCTTTAAAAACAGTAACTTTTTGAAATGTTTTTTTTTTTTCACTGATTCATGTCCCTCAGGGCAGTACCCGAGTCCCCATATCCTTTTTATGGCCAATAACTTGCATATAAGCCCTTAAAATAGGCACTTTTTGATTCACAAGTTCGAGTCGCATAGACTTGCATTGAGTTCGAAGTTCACGGTTGAATTCTCATAAGGTTCGAATGGTCGACTTGCACAGATCCTGTGGTTGGCGCGTTGCATTTTATGCGTTGCACTTTGGGGATGTTAAAATTGTTAGTTGCAGAGCTGTCTTTACCTTTAAATCGGTTTGATGTAGCAGGAGGTGGACCCAATGTTGATTAGGAAGAACAGCTGTTGCTGGTGCCTAAAACCAACACTTTGTACATGGCTCCACTGGGTAACGAATAAGCGCTGTCTTTAGCGTGAAACGCGTTTACCTGCCAGATCCTCATTGTATTTCCACTGTCCATATTGGTTTTATCTTGGTCCAATAAAGTGGATTGTTTGGACTGCATCCGACCGATCGTCCTTTGTTCTCATCTATGCAGCACACGAGCTGGGCTAGCACCTACAGCAGCGGTTCTCAACCTGTGGGTCGCGACCCCTTTGGGGGTCGAACAACCCTTTCACAGGGGTCTCCTAAGACCATTGGAAAACACATATTTCCGATGGTCTTAGGAACCGAGACACCGCTCCTCTATCAGTCTCCAGGCGGGTTCTCCCACATGCAGATAGGTCCACATTTCCCTGGACGCGATGTGTGCGCGGGATGACATGCCGCCCCCCTGTCATCTGGCCACATCCCCGGGATCACTCAACAGCTCCGCCTCCTTGCCAGTGATTGGCCGCCGGAACTGTAGCTCAGGAGAGGCACACAGGCGGCCAATCACCGGCGAGGAGGAGGAGCCGAGCAGCAGCGCGAAGATCAAAGAAGATCGAGCAAGGGAGCGGCTGGAGAAGGAAGACAGCTGACAGGTAAGTGTCTGTAGCGTGCAGATGGTGCTGCTGCAGCCAGGTATGCTGGCTGTAGATGGGAGAGGGAGGGAGCGAGCCCAGGCTGGAGCAGGAGTCAGCAAGGTAAGTATCATTGGTGTCAGTAGGAGTAATAGTGCCCCATCATTGATGTCACTAATACCAATGATGGGGCACTATTCCTCCCACTGACACCAATTATGGGGCACTATTTCCTCCCCCCCCACAGACACCAACGATGGGGAACTATTCTTCCCCTCACTGACACCAACGATGGGGCACTATTCCTCCCCCCACTGACACCACTGATGGGGCACTATTCCTCCCTCCACTGACACCAACGATGGGGCACTACCCCCCCACTGACACCAATGATGGGGCACAATTCCCCCCCCACACTAGTATCAATGATGGGGCACTATTCCCCCCCCCACTGACACCAATGATGGGGCACTATTCCTCCGACACTCACCAATGATGGGGCACTATTCCTCCCACACTGACACCAATGATGGGGCACTATTCCTTCCACTGACACCAACAATGTGGCACTATTCATCCCACTGATACCAATGATGGGGCACTATTCCTCCCACTGATACCAATGATGGGGCACTATTCCTCCCACTGATACCAATGATGGGGCACTATTCCTCCCACTGATACCAATGATGGGACACTATTCCTCTCACTGATACCAACGATGGGACACTATTCCTCTCACTGACACCAATGATGTGGGACTACTCCTCCCACTGCAAAATTACAGTTATGAAGTAGCAACAAAAATAATTTTATGGTTGGGGGTCACCACAACATGAGGAACTGTATTAAAGGGTCGCGGCATTAGGAAGGTTGAGAACCACTGACCTACAGGGAGTTGTGCTTGGAGATTGGGAGTCTCTCTACCTTGAGAAGCAGTAAACATATACTAATTGTATCCACTTTAGTTTAGGGAACAGCATGCCCTGGCCTCTCCCTTTCCTGTTGCTTGCCAGCCACTTTTTTGTTACTCTAAAAGGCAAACACTTTGGGCATAGTGGGCTATGCATGGGACAGAATTTTGTATTGTATTTGAATCATATAGCCCCCTATGCAGGAGATAACGTTGTGTGAGGGGGTCAGATACTGTAACTTAGGGGAGATCAATTTACAGTTGTCCAGCACTTTGCTCCATTCCTCATCATCTAGACCAGGGGTCTCCAAACTGCGGCCTGAGGACCAGATGTGGCCCTTTGCTTGCCTCTATCCAGCCCTTGGGGAACTATTCCTTCCACTGATATGAGTTACTATTTCTTCCAGTGACATCAAAGGCAGGGCACTATTCCTCCCACTGACACCATCAATGGGGTACTATTCCTCCCACTGACACCATAGATGGTGTACTAATTCTCTCACTGACACCAATAATTTCATTTTTTTTTACTCCCACTGACCACCAAGCCTATGGCGCTGTTTGCTCCCACCGATGCCAGGGCATTTTCTACTTCCTCTGGTCACAGTCCGGCCCCCCTAATATTTAAAGGGAAATACACTGGCCCTTTGTTTTGAAAGTTTGGAGACCCCTGATCTTAACCATCCATCTCTGGAACCCAATAAGGTTTGGGGGAGCAGGCAATTTTGCAGGCCAGTGGAGTAAGTACTAGATTATAGAATGTGGAAGTCAACTTTTGAGAATTGTCTCCACAATCAACCTCCAATAAAGGTATGGCAGTAAGCGAATTGGGCTTGCAGGGCATGAAGTAGCTGAAACAGCGGTGTGTTATATGCATGCACAAGATGAAGTGTCTGATGTCATGCACTTCATCTCAAGCATTTGCAGTATCACAGGCATTTTTAAAATGGTGTCGCTGGAATGGGGACTTAGTCAGCACATTGGCAGGACAAAAAGAGATACGTTTAAAGGAAAAAGTAACATGGATACTGTATACATACACTGCTCAAAAAAGTTAAAGGAACACTTTTTAATTAGAGTATAGCATCAAGTCAATGAAACTCCTGGGACATTGATCTGGTCAGTTAAGTAGCAGAGGGGGTTATTAATCAGTTTCAGCTGCCTTGGTGTTAATGAATTTAACAACAGGTGCACTAGATGGGCAACAATGAAACGACCCCCAAAACAGGAATGGTTTTACAGGTGGAGGTCACGGACATTTTTTTCCCTATTCATCATTTCTGTTGATACATTTGCATTTGGCTAGGGTCAATGTCATTCCTGGTAGCATGAGGCGATACCTGGACCCTACAGAGGTTGCACAGGCTCCAACTCCTCCAGGATGGCATATCAATATGTGCCATAGCCAGGTTTGCTGTGGCTCCCAGCACAGTCTCAAGAGCATTGAGGAGATTCCAACAGACAGGCAGTTACTCTAGGAGAGCTGGACAGGGCCATAGAAGGTCCTTAACCCATCAGCAGGATCGGTATCTGCTCCTTTGTGCAAGGAGGAACAGGATGAGCACTGCCAGAGCCCTACAAAATGACCTCCAGCAGGCCACTGGTGTGAATGTCTCTGACCAAAAAATCAGAAACAGACTTAATGAGGGTGGCCTGAGGGCCCGACATCCTCTAGTGGGCCCTGTGCTCACTGTCCGGCAACATAGAGCTTGACTGGCATTTACCATTAAACACCACAATTGGCAGGTCCACCACTGGCGCCCTGTGCTTTTCACAGATGAGAGCAGGTTCACCCTGAGTACATGTGACAGATGTAACAGGGTCTGGAGAAGCCTTGGAGAATGTTATGCTGCCTGTAACATCGTTCAGCATGACCATTTTGGTGGTGGGTCAGTGATGGTCTGGGGAGGCATATCCATGGAGGGACGCACAGACCTCTACAGGCTAGACAATGGCACCCTGACTGCCATTAGGTATCAAGATGAAATCCTTGGACCCATTGTCAGACCCTACACTGGTGCACTGGGTCCTGGGTTCCTCCTGGTGCAAGACAATGCCAGGCCTCATGTGGCAAGAGTATGCAGGCAGTTCCTGGAGGATGAATAAATTGATACTTTTGAATGGCCTCCACGTTCGTCTGACCTAAATCCAATAGAACATCTCTGGGATATCATGTTTCAGTCCATCCAACGCCACCAGGTTTCACCTCAGACTGTCCAGGAGCTCAGTGATGTCCTGGTCCAGATCTGGGAGGATATACCCCAGGACACCATCCGTTGTCTCATTATGAGCATGCCCTAACGTTGTCAGACATGCATACAAGCATGTGGGGGCCATATATACTACTGAGTACCATTCTGAGTTGCTGCAATGAAATTTCAGCAAAATGGACTAGCCTGCTGCATCATTTTTTCACCTCTGTAGGTTGATAATTTTCATTTCCATCAAACGATGGGGCATCATTATGTTCCTAACATATTACCCCATCCATATCAGTATAGATATCCAGCAGGAGATTTTTCCCCATTGAGATCTGATGTGTTTTCAAAGTGTTCCTTTCATTTTTTGAGCAGTGTATATAACATGTGCGGTGTGTGCAGAGGCTGTGAGGGGTGGTGTGTCACATTGCACTGCTTATATATGTTCTTTTAAATTATCGCAGTGTCACAAAATGACACTTCATTCAACTCTGTACACCCCAACACACTGTGGCACACATTCTTCTTTCATTCCAATGAACGACTATGCATGTACACATTTATGTATGTTATGCCAACTCCTTCCATTCAAGTCTGTGGTAACCTGCTGTAAATGTGCCTGTAGGGTTTACGGTGTGTTACCACGTGGGGTGGAGGAACTTGACTGGCCTGCACAGAGTCCTGACCTCAACCCCATGGAACACCTTTGGGATGAATTAGAGTGGAGACTGTGAGCCAGGCCTTCTCCTCCGACATCAGTGCCTGACCTGACAAATGCGCTTCTGGAAGAATGGTCAAACATTTCTCAGACACACTCCTAAACCTTGTGGACAGCCTTCCCAGAAGAGTTGAAGCTGTTATAGCTGCAAAGGGTGGGCCAACTCAATATTGAACCCTATGGACTAAGACCAGGATGCCATTGAAGATCATGTGCGTGTAAAGGCAGGCCGACCAATACTTTTGGAAGAATAGTGTTGTTGCTAAGGAGTTTGCCCTCAAGGCTCAAGGACTGTTTACTGTTTCCAGTGTGCAAGGTGTGGAGGAAAATGTGTGTTGCCTGGCTAGGCAGAGCTTTAGGGGGACCCAAAACTCCAAGACTCCTCAGGGGGTAGTGCTACATTTGCAATGTGAAGCTTTACCTCATTTACTAAGCACTGGAGGAACTGCACGTGCAGTGCACAGTCTATTTGCCTTTAGTAATCAACCCCAGAGTGTGTTTGGAAAGTATTATTTGATGAGCAGCCAAAGCGTGCCCTCATGCGGTTGTTTCTAATGCCAGTGTAAACCTTGAGGCCTTAATGTGTGTAAAAAATGCACCCCAGATGCTCTCCATGTAATTATTTTTATTTAAGAAGGAAGTGTTTTATAAATGCTTGTTAAACGTGTGGTGATGTGCAGTAAACACTACAGGCGTGTCTATGGCATGTTACCATAGGCTTGACAAGCTTTAACGCCTCTCAGACTCCACACACCTGCTTTTCATGTTGGTGTATACTTAGCCTATAACAATGGACATGGTATCACTGTACATGGTGTGAATGGATGGACATGGTGTGACTAGACATGATGTAAATGGATGGACATGGTGTGACTGGACACGGTGTGAATGGATGGACTTGTTGTTACTGGACATGGTGTGAATGAATGGACATGGTGTGAATGGATGGACATGGTGTGACTGGACAAGGTGTGAATGAATGAACATGGTGTGATTGGATGGACACTGTGTGAATGGATGGACATGGTGTGACTGGACAAGGTGGGAATGGATGGACATAGTTTGACTGGCAGACAGGATGTGACTGAACAAGGTGTGAATGGATGGACATGGTGTGAATGGATTGATATGGTGTGACTGGATGGACATGGTGTGACTGTACAAGCTGTGAATGAATGCACATGGTGTGACTGGATGGACATGGTGTGACTGGACAAGGTGGGAATGGATGGAAATAGTATGACTGGCAGACAGGATGTGACTGAACAAGGTGTGAATGGATGGACATGGTGTGACTTGACAGCCAAGATGTGACTGAACAAGGTGTGAATGGATGGACAAGGTGTGACTGAATGGACATGGTGTGAGTGGAGTGGACACGGTGTGAATGGATGGACATGGTGTGCCTGGATGGACATGGCCTGAGTGGATGGTCATGGTGTGAGTAGGGACACGGTATGAATGGACACGGTGTGAATGGACAAAGGTGACTGGACACGGTGTGAATGGACACGGTATGAATGAATGGACACAGGTGACTGGACACGGTGTGAATGGACACGGTGTGAATGGACACAGGTGACTGGACACGGTGTGAATGGACACAGGTGACTAGACACGGTGTGAATGGACACAGGTGACTAGACACGGTGTGAATGGACACACGGTGTGAATGGACACAGGTGACTGGACACGGTGTGAATGGACACAGGTGGCTAGACACGGTGTGAATGGACACAGGTGACTAGACACGGTGTGAATGGACACGGTATGAATGAATGGACACAGGTGACTGGACACAGTGTGAATGGACACAGGTGACTAGACACGGTGTGAATGGATACAGGTGGCTAGACACGGTGTGAATGGACACGGTATGAATGGACACAGGTGACTGGACACGGTGTGAATGGACACAGTTGACTAGACATGGTGTGAATGGACACGGTGTGAATGGACACAGATGACTAGACATGGTGTGAATGGACACGGTATGAATGAATGGACACAGGTGACTGGACACGATGTGAATGGACACGGTGTGAATGGACACGGTATGAATGAATGGACACAGGTGACTTAACACGGTGTGAATGGACACGGTGTGAATGGACACAGGTGACTAGACACGGTGTGAATGGACACGATATGAATGAATGGACACAGGTGACTGGACACGGTGTGAATGGACACAGGTGACAAGAAACGGTGTAAATGGACACAGGTGACTGGACACAGGTGTGAATAGACACGGTATGAATGGACACAGGTGATTGGACACGGTATGAATGGACACGGTATGGTGACTGGACACAGTGTGAATGGACACGGTGTGAATGGACACAGGTGACTAGACACGGTATGAATGGACACAGGTGACTGGACACAGTGTGAATGGACACGGTTTGAATGAATGGACACAGGTGACTGGACACGGTGTGAATGGACACAGGTGACTGGACACAGTGTGAATGGACACGGTTTGAATGAATGGACACAGGTGACTGGACACGGTGTGAATGGACACGGTATGAATGAATGGACACAGGTGACTGGACACGGTGTGAATGGACACGGTATGAATGAATGGACACAGGTGACTGGACACGGTGTGAATGGACACGGTGTGAATGGACACGGGAATGGACTGGACACGGTGTGAATGGACACGGTATGAATGGACACAGGTGACTGGACACGGTGTGAATGGACACAGTGTGAATGGACACAGGTGAATGGACACAGGTGACTGGACACGGTGTGAATGTGTATGAATGGACACAGGTGTGACATGGACACGGTGTGAATGGACACAGGTGAATGGAACGGTGTGAATGGACAGTGTGAATGGACACAGTGTGAATGTACATGGTATGAAACACGGTGTGAATGGACACGTTGTGAAAGGACACGGTATGAATGGACACAGGTGACTGGACACGGTGTGAATGGACACGGTATGAATGGACACGGTATGAATGGACACAGTATGAAAGGATGGCAACAGTGTGACTTGAAATGGAATGAATGAGCCATAATTGCTTCCCTCAGGACTGTGGTGAGAGTGTGTGCAGCCTACACTGTACAGTAGGGGTCCCTCATCCCCGGGGTCCCCCATCCCCGGGGTCCCCCCGTCCCCAGAGAGTGTCGGGGCTCTTTAAGCGGGCGGTATAAAGCAGTGCTCGGCGCCCCTCCTCTCCTTGTCTCAGCTGAGAGCACGGTCCCTCCCCGCCTCTGGCTCAGTGCACTCTGCCCGTCTCTGAGGTAACACAGCGAACCCCTCTTCTGTCAGCCATGTCTGCCGGCGAAGAAGCGGCCCCCGCCCAGACCCCCAAGCCGGAGAGCAGCAGCAGCAGACACCGCCTGAAGAGAACCAAGCCGCCGAGCCCCAGAAAAAGGAACCAGCGGAGGAGCAGAAGCCGGCCGAGGAGGCGGCAGCGGCGGTGGAGAGCGGGGAAGCGGCGGCACCTCCGCAGCCTGAAGTGACCTACAAGTCGCTGGTGCTGAGCGGCCACGGCGGCTATGACAAGGTGAAGCTGCAGAACAAGAAGGGCTCCCCCAAACCCAAGGCCGGGGAGGTGCTGATCCGGGTCCGAGCCTGCGGGCTCAACTTCGCCGACCTGATGGCCAGACAAGGAGTCTACGACCGCCTGCCGTCCCCGCCCGTCTCCCTGGGCATGGAGTGCTCCGGCATCGTGGAGGAGCTGGGAGAGGGAGTTACCGACAGACAGGTCAGTCCTACACACCGACACATCGGCCGATCTGATGGTGGATGGGCGTGACCCTCCTCACTGGGCACATCACCTACACTGCCCGCCGGGCTCCTCACCAGGAGAGCTTAGCTGAAGATCAGTGCCGGGATTCTCACCCCCTCGTCACCCGGATTGATTAGTAATCAGCCGATCGATCCATTGATTAGCCGAATAGCGGTAACAGTACTTCAGGCGGATTCTCTCCCTCACACAGCAGGGGGCGCTGTTGCAGTGCTTCCTATGGTGTCTCCTATGGATGGGCTGTGGCTGTCAGTGCTGGCTGATGCTTCTACTCACTACAGCAGTAATTGTAGGCTGGGGGGGTGGTGGGGGTTCCTGGAGCTGGGACAGCTTGACTGATCACTTTGATCTGGTGGCTGCAGGGCTGGGGCCACATAGCAGTTCATGGTGTCTATCATCTCTCCCGCTGTCTAGAAGGGTAGGGCTGATGGGGGCTGACCACCACTAAGGGGGGCTGATGAGTAATCCCACTGGCCATTGCTATGGGGGGAAGGGGATTTATTGGCCACAGCTATGGGGGGGAAGGGGATTTATTGGCCACAGCTATGGGGGGGAAGGGGATTTATTGGCCACAGCTATGGGGGGGAAGGGGATTTATTGGCCACAGCTATGGGGGGAAGGGGATTTATTGGCCACAGCTATGGGGGGGGGAAGGGGATTTATTGGCCACAGCTATGGGGGGAAGGGGATTTATTGGCCACAGCTATGGGGGGGGAAGGGGATTTATTGGCCACAGCTATGGGGGGAAGGGGATTTATTGGCCACAGCTATGGGGGGGAAGGGGATTTATTGGCCACAGCTATGGGGGGGGAAGGGGATTTATTGGCCACAGCTATGGGGGGGAAGGGGATTTATTGGCCACAGCTATGGGGGGGGGGGGGGGCTATGGGGAGGGGGATTTATTGGCCACAGCTATGGGGGGGGGGGGAGAAGGGGATTTATTGGCCACAGCTATGGGGGGGGGGGGGATTTATTGGAGCTATGGGGGGGGGGGATTTATTGGCCACAGCTATGGGGGGGGGGGGGAGAGGGGGATTTATTGGCCACAGCTATGGGGGGAGAGGGGGATTTATTGGCCACAGCTATGGGGGGGGGGAGAGGGGATTTATTGGCCACAGCTATGGGGGGGAGAGGGGATTTATTGGCCACAGCTATGGGGGGGGGGGGGGGAGATGGGGGGGGGGGGGATTTATTGGCCACAGCTATGGGGGGGGGGGGATTTATTGGCCACAGCTATGGGGGGGGAGGGGATTTATTGGCCACAGCTATGGGGGGGGGGGGGGGAGAGGGGGATTTTATTGGCCACAGGGGGATTTATGGCCACCACATTGGCACAGATATGGGGGGGGGGGGATTTATTGGCCACAGCTATGGGGGAGATAGTTATCCCACCGGCCACAGCTATTAAGTCGGGGGGGCCTTCCACTGCCCCCCAATTGTAATATATGTGCTGAACTTGAGACTCCATAAATGCCAAAAACACCGGGATGAGGATTCGTTATCTTCCAAAGTGCTACAGATTTCTGGCAGTCCAATGAGATGTGAGAATGGTTCGCTTGGTTGAAAATCTTTGTGAATGGAGCCCATTGTTAGTGTGAAGTCTTGTGTATTTGCACCATGCTGACATCTTGGTGTAGCCCAGTGTTTCTCAAACTTTTTTCAGTCAAGGCACCCTTTAAATTTATGGACAATCTTGAGGCCCCCGATTCTAAAATGTGAAACTCTTCTAATAGTTTTATATACCACAGCAACCTCCACACGTGTAGGACACCCAACATTGGAGGGAATTTATTCTTCTAAAGTAAATACACTTTTGCACAATGGTACTGACTAGTATTCCAATGTTTCTCTTCTCCCTCAGTTTTTCACCATCACTGAGCTAATGTGCCCCCAGCACTGATGGAGGGGTGGGGAGGGTCAAACTAGGATGCTGTGCAGGCAGCTGACATCCTCAACTGATGTCATTGGTTGTCAGGACGCTGGCGACTAGAAGGTTGTAATGGTGCACAATGAGAACCTGTGGCTTTGTGTAACTAAAGGGTAGGCCTGTTCCACCCGCTGGCTTGTATACAAGTTTTGGGCAATTATTAGACCTTTTTTGCCAAGGCACCCTGTTGAGAGGCTGGTGTAACCCCCATCATGTTAGAGGTGACAGGTGCATGTGTCAGACCTCGCCTTTCTATGCTGTTTTATTGGACATTAGATGGTTGTAATATCCATTTGCAATCCTTGTGTAGGAGTTGTTTCAAGGGAGTGATCATGACCAGCTGAGTTTCTCCCTCCCCCCCCCCCCCCCCCACTTGCTGGTCACAGTATTCTGGGCTCCTCTACTCAGTAAGGAGAAGGGCTGTGTACGTGATGCAGCAGTTAGAATCGGTGAACTTGATTCTTTGTCTTGTATCTGCATTCAGTAAGCCCTGACCACACACATGTCCAGTATTTGAAGTCCTTTGACTATAAACTGTAGTAAGACGTTCTATATCTTGTGTGGTTTGTGTCTGAGGATGATCTGTCATGGATGGTGGTTGTAGATCACATACTGTGAGATGGGTGTGGCAGTCAGTAGTACACAGATCCTGAAGCTCTCTAATTCAGTAGTTGTGAAAGGATTTTGTGGTCTTTGGGTTCTCTATGTACCAATTACTATCACATCAATGATAAGCAACAGCTTCTCACCACAGCAAAGACTTTTTAATGTGGTTGTAGAGTAATCTTGTTGCTGTGATTGCTTAAACCACACCCTATTGGACCATGATGGGGCCTTATTGAGGGTTTTCAAGTCCGTGTTTCATTGATTCTAACATGCAATTGCTGTGCAGTTGATTACAATTGGTGTGAATGCCTATAGGTCATTTCTGACTTCTACCCAGAGTCTCATAAATATTTAGGAGTACTTTATTAAATTGATATTTCAGTTAAATGGGTGTTAACACCCTTTCCTGTGCTACATGGTTTTTATTGCGTCTGCATCCACCTGGGGCTGTATGCAGGCAGCCTTTAGAAGTGGATTCTAACCAGACACCGCCACATGTCAAATTTTGACATGTTGGTGCATGGATCTGAATGCAGGTAATCAGAGCTGTGCTCCTGCATCTACCTCCATAGGTTGCCTGTGCGCAGCTTTGAGTGAATGCATGCGCAAAAACGAGTGGCCTGGTGCACAGAATGGTTAACACCCATCTGAAGCCTAAATGCCAGAATTTCTAGTTTTAATGCCAAAAGTAACAACCAAGGGAATATTGTGATGGGACTAAAACATTTCTTTACCCATTGTCTTAGGCTAGGTTCACATCTGTGTGGGTGGTGCTGCTGTGGATCCAAACAAATCCGTGCAGCCGTACCACCCACAAACAAGAATGTGGACCTGTGGGCAGGTGCCATTCATTCTAATGGCACGCCGCATGCACTGGAAATCATAACCACACTGGGAACCAAGGTTCCTGTGCAAGCTGCGGTTTTCAAGTGCAGGGACATCTTCCCTGCGTGTCCCAGGGTACAGGAGTTAATTCAAATGAATGGGCTTTTGTGCCTGCACAAAACGTGGCCCGCACGGCCACATGTGAACCAGGGCTAAATGCTTTGTCTGATGTGCAGTGCTGATGATCTGCAAGCCATGGACAGCCTTTTGATCATTAAGGGCCGGTGCACACTATAGAAATGTAGTCCAGATGTTTTTTTGCATGTGTTTTTGCCATGTTCCAGTGCATTTTTTTTAATGTATTCCAGTTAATTTTCCCACTTTCTCCATTTTAAATGGGGACATGTGCATTTATGCATTCCAATTCATTTCCCCCCCCCCTTCAATTTAAATAGGGACATGTGTGTTCCAGTGCATCTTTGATGTGTTTTACCACTTCCAGTACAGTTCTAGTGCAGAAAAAATGCAGCCTGGTTGTTTTTTTTTTTTTTTTTTTTTTTTTTTTCTGGAACTGAAAGCACTGATGTCAACTATTGACAACCATATAACCTACTTTCTATGCATTTTTGTGGATGCAGAAAAAAAGCAACTGAAACACATGTAGTGTGACCTGACCCTTAAAGACAGGGGAAAAATGCATAAATACTGTATTTTGTATGCATTTTTCTGTGCGATTTTGTCTTTAGATGATTTTAAATTTTTTTGTATTAGATTTTTCTAATAGGTTGGTCCTCCATTTTTGATGCACTTTTAAGTAGTTTTAATAGCAATTTGTTTTTATATTTGAAAAGCTATAGGATGTAAATGTGACCTTGTATTTTTTTTTCTTCTCTGAATGCCATTAGCAATAATTTTAAAATGTCTTAATAGCTATAAAGGCTATAAGTGCACTTTGTTCACCAAATGCCCCTTAAAATCCAGAGCCAAGGTTTCATGCCAGATTACTACACAGATCTGAAAGAAATGCAAAGGGTCAAGTAAGAATGCACATGACTCTTGTACTTGGACAATACTGCCTTATCCTGCAATTCAGATTTAAGGGAGTATTGAGTCTGAAGACTAGGCCTTGTGGTGAAAAGCTGTTCATTGGCTCCTGAGCTGCCAACACTGAACCCCCCCCCTTATAGAAACTGGTTTTTACCTTAACCCTTTGAGGACCGTAAGATTTTGAAACGCCAAAAGAATCTTTTTTTTTTTTTTTTTTTTTTTTTTTTTTTTGTTTTTAAAGTTCGTACACTTCAGTTGCTGTAACTAAGCAATTTCATGAAATTGGCAAAAAGCTAGATCCATTTGTTAAAACTTTTTGGTTTGAGTCAAAATATTAGTTCTTAAGTTCTTGATCAGATACATGCAATTAAAAACATGGGACAAATACGTCCCTTGGTCCTCAAAGGGTTAAAGTGTGGTCTCTTGAAAAAAAAAAACAAAACTAAAACGAGAACTCTCCATCCCTGTGTGATGCTGCAGCTGTTCTGTCAGCTTGAAGACTGAACTGAATGATCACATGAGCTGATTGCTCAGTTCTCTGCTTGCTGTGAGC